ATTAATCTGTGAAGCATTAAATACCCGCAGAAGGGAGGAAATGCGGATGGATGCAGTTGGACTTCCTGCTTGACATCACGAATGCAGTAGTTGACAACAGGCGACAATACAGCTCTATGTTAAGACTATCCCTCAGTCATACACATCTACGTCTATGCTGTTAATATTACAGGGGAGTTACCATGAGTACCGTGCCTCTCGCGGTCATATAGTATAAATAATTCACACAGCCCAAACACTATTATCATCACACGTTATGAGCCAGAGCTCTAGGTATATTAACACGGGAGGAGGCGTATGAATAGTCCCCTCCTCTCCTTAGCTCTTCTCCTTCCCTCAATTCCCTCCCTCTCCCCTTAGTCCCCCTTCCTTCCCTTAGTCCCCTCCTTTCCTTAGTCCTCCCTCTTCTCCTTAGCTCTTCTCCTTCCCTTAATCCCTCCCCCCCCTTAGTCCCTCCTCTCCTTAGTCCCCCTTCCTAGATCCCTCCTCCCCTTAGTCCCTCCTCCCTTAGCCCCCTCTCTCCCCTTAGTACCTCCACTTATAAAGATTGATCCCACGTGCTCGCTATCATGAATTACTTACTCCTCTTGTCTAGCTGAAAGATTAGTCCGTGTTTAAGAGAATAAACTCGTCAGAACATTGTTTGGGACGCCATATACACCAACGTCACGTGACCTACATTCCATACATCAACTTAAAACCCCCCAAAAATTTACACCTTATTATTATTATTTTTGTATCCATTAGTTACATAATCTTCCATTCTTATTATTCTATCCTAATTGAGCAAGAAACTTAAAGATAATCTGCTGAGAATTAGCTTAACGTGTGAAAGTGAATTCTCAGGTGTCTGTTTTAAGGGGGTAACAAGTGGCCCCTAAGAACCTGATAATCAAGTTCAGGTGTAGAATGTGAGACCAGGAACCAGTGAGCCAGGCGGAGTTATGTCTTGGGTGATGTTGATGATGATGTGTTCAAAACTCTTTATTAAATCATTATTGATGAGAGTACAGGTATAACGTAAGATACACACACCTGCCTCAGAGTGTACAGGTACAGTGTGTGTGTGTGTGTGGGTGGAAGAGAGATCACCACTGGAGGTAAAGGTCTGCCCTGAAATATTGATCACTTGGCTCCGATGTTTTGGCTGGCAACCTTACAAGAATGTGTGCAGTGAAAGCCATGCACGGGAATGTGTTGGAGAGAGAGAAACACACACAAACACACACACACACACACACACACACACACACACACACACACACACATGAATAGTTAGGTAAGACGACAACCAGACAGACAGATAGATAGATAGATAGATAGATAGAGATTGAATCAAGATTATGTTCACCATTAAAACAATGCATCCAGATATGCACGGAATTCACAGTGGGGGAGGAGAGAGGGAGGGGCATTTCTTACAGTAATCCACCATTGCAATTATAACACAAACAGTGGTACACAGTGTTACAGCAATGCACTGATGCAACGATACAGCCACACAGTACTACAGAGGTTGGGGAACACCGCTTTATTTTACATGCTATTGAATAAACTGTACTTAATTGGTTGACTATAGAATATGTATACGAATCTTAAGTAAGGTTAGGTTAGGTTAGGATAGGATAGGTTAGGTTAGGATAGGATAGGTTAGGTTAGGTTAGGTTAGGTTAGGTTAGGTAGTTGGCGTGGGTCGGTCGTATACACAGGCTGACGTCACACAAGATGCCATGGGTATGTCTCACCATAATACCCAAGTCCCGTTAAGTTCACGCTAAAGGTCAGAGGTCAAATGCGGTTACCGGAGTAATTATCCCTTTTGAGGATTATACTGTAATCTAACCCATTAAGGACGATGGTTTTAACCCTCTCTTCCTTAAAGGGGCAAAAGACAACATACAGCCACCATAGGTACATCTCAATACTGTACCTGTAACCTGACGATAAACCTGTAACTGTACTGAGGATAGTAAGTATTTTTAGTGGCACAATTAATGATGACGTCGGCACCATTATACGGAACAGGGTCAGTAGGTTGGTGTAGAAAACAAGGTGTAATTGGGTGGTTATACAATGGCTTCCGATTACGGTAAATACTGGCAGTTTAATGATGACTCAACTATGAAGAGCTCTGTGTACTGTAGATACCAAAACAACATTATAGTGTTACATACCAAGAAAGATTTTGTCGCCTTCTCAATGTTACTAGTTTATTATATAACAGGGCGTCCAATAAGGTGTCATATAACATTAATAGGTTCTTTGGAATGTTCTTTTCAATAAGTGGAATAGTAAATAGTGGTATACAGTGTCCGGTAATAGTCAAGAGTATTACACAACGCCTGTCAGCACTAGTTCAGCTCTACGTGTCCCATATGGAGCGACGGATCAGCTGGTGGCCTGGATCCTACATGTGACCTCACCTCTTACCTAACACTTGACTTCGTATATGATCCCCCGACAGCCTTGTTGGGTTACAGTGTTTTACGGGGTTACCAAACATTAGAAATTCAATGTACAATAGTTAGTATTTTCCTTCCCCGGGGCGTAAGCTTTTGGCTATTTCGTTTCCTCTCTTAGACCATTCTCCCCTCCAAAAAATAAAGTAGTAATAATTATTTTACATACAGTATGTTGTATAAATTTACCATAATGTGACTGATTAATAATGATAGTAAACTTTATCTCAAATAAGAGAGAGAGAGAGAGAGAGAGAGAGAGAGAGAGAGAGAGAGAGAGAGAGAGAGAGTGTGTGTGTGGGAGGCGTCAGTTATGTTCCGTGACATACCTTGACGACGATACTCCACCCACCGTTACGCTGAGTCCAGAGTCTCAAAGATTTCGCCTGGTAAATATCCCTCGTAACTGAGTCCCTGTAACTAGTTAATTGAAGTTAAAACACCAAATTAATCTCCTAAATTGACACCGAAATTCTACCTTCTCTAGATACTCTGACGTAGCTTCAGGTAGCTATAGGTGACGAAGGTATGCAAGAGCTGTTCAAAGATTATATGAAGTACACCTGGTGTCAAGTGATACGAAGTGATAATAATAAGACTTGTTGCCCTCCTTCCACCCCTCTTGCCCTTCCCTCCCTCCCTCCCTCTTGCCCTTCCCTCCCTCCCTCCCTCTTGCCCTCCCCCCCACCCTCCCTCCCTGCTGGTGCCTGACCTTGTATTCCTCACCTTAACCTCTGACCTCTCAAGGATGTCAGCGGTAACATCCAGGATATATCTGTATGGGAAACTTAACCTAACCTAACCTACACAAATCCAGTGTTGTTTGAACTTATATTTCTCATCCTCTTTGTAGTGTTTCCTTACAATGTGCATGTTTCCTATTACCACCTGTATCTTTATCACTCCTTCTAAATAATTCTCATCGGTATTTTCACTTTTATTTAGACGTATTTCTCATTAGTATTTGTTTTTGTTTTTCCTCAGTGTTCGCATGTTCCTCATCGCTGCTTTCAAATTTATCATCAGTGTTTCTCATAAATGGTAGCGTGCTTCTCATCATTACCTATTCATTTCTCATCAAAACTGACATATTACTTCCCTCCAATAAATACATGTGTCTCACCATTTCATATATATGTCTCATCACTGCCTACTTATTTCTCACTAGTACCTACGTATTTTTCAGCAGTACCTATATGTTACTCTTATACGTGTGTGATGTTCAGTATGCCTGTATGTTTCTCACTGGTACCTGCATGTTTCTCACTGGTACCTGCATGTTTCTCACTGGTACCTGCGTGATTTTCCCCATTGCCTTATGTTTATCATGTTTCTCACTATATATGTTTCTCACCATAGTTTCCTGTATGTTTCTCACATTTGACTATATATTTCTCATAGTTACCTGTAATTTTCACACCTGTACAGCTAGATTGTTCACAAATACCCTAATATTTCTCATGTATATTGACGTACGTGTGTGTGTGTGTGTGTGTGTGTGTGTGTGTGTACTCTGCCTGCATGTTTCTCATCGATATTTTGTTGTTTCTCAGCTGGCCGCAGTCACCAAGGTGTGTTAATGACATGTGACTCACTGATTGGATGGTTCACAGGTGTCAAGGACGTCAACACCAGGGCTAACGTCATCATGGTGTGTGTGTGTGTGTGTGTGTAGGAGAGGGTTGTGTGGGCGCTTCTGTGGTGGATAGTGTGTTTGTATGTGTGTTTGTGTATGTGTTTGTGGATGTGTGCTTGTGTTTGTATGTGTGTTTGTGTATGTGTTTGTGGATATGTGCTTGTGTTTGTATCTGAACCTTGCATTTGGGACCTAAACATAATATTTTTGGGAACTGTACTAAAAGATCAAACAATAATATATATTTAACTCTTACCGCGTCATTAGTCATAAGATAAATATAAAGCTTCAGGCAGCTACGTTTTATTAATGTACGGTATTCATTTGCCTTGCCTGTTGTTATGCAAAGTGTATATTAGCTTAAATGTTATTGTTGTATCCATGTGTATGTCGTAGTTATTTTGAATTATTTTATACCTACGAGTGTTATATATTTTGTTTACGGCATTAATTTTGTGCCTGTAAGCGAGACGTTCAACATTTTTCTCTGACATCATCACTGTTTATCCTGGCTCAGCTTATGCTTAGTTTTCTCTACATTTAACTCCTGTTGTTTAGCTTCATCTATCTAAATTTACTCTCATTTTAACGTACTTCCTGAATCCTCTTATACTACCCCTAGTAAAACCTCTTCAAACACAGACCCAATTAGTGAGGTGTCCACCCACTCAATCTCTTCATTCTGTACCACATTCTCCTCTCGTGACCTTTCAGAGCGATGGTATGTGATGGTCTTGCTAACATATACATTCACTAGTTCAGTATATATCTATAATTATATATCTATGAGTCACTCCTCTATTTGGCAATGCAAGTGGTTGGCGTTTGGCACTATATTCCGGTATTCCGCTAAGTTTGAAAGTGGTGGCAGAAGGCGGGAGAGTGAGCACCAATGAGAGACGCTGACGTACTGTTTAGAAGCGACGTCACTGCAAAGATGGCGACTGACAGACGAAGATGCACGGTCTTCTTTTGTATAGTTATTTTTCAACTATTTAGTCAGATTACAGCAAAATCAAGTGTTATAGACCTCAATGAAGATAACTGGTATCAGATGCTTGAAGGAGAATGGATGGTAGAATTGTAAGTATTTCATAAAGCGTTGTTTCCGGTGGTTGTGTCACCTACCTCCCTCCTCTTCCCTCTACCTCACCATGGGTTATCTCACTCGTCATGTTCATCACCTGCTAATTATATTATTCTGATTTCAGTTATAGTTAAAGAGAAAACGACCATCAATATCTCTATGATATAATTTGTGTATTGGTTTCTAGTGTCAGTTTTTATAGGGGTGAAAAAGTAATTATACTTTGTACTGTTAATGGATGTAGTAATTATGGTCCAAAGATAAGCTTTAGATAATGCATTTTTCTATTGTGTATTTTTCTTGTGTATATTTTGAGATTAAAGAGTAATCGGTGAATAAAGTTGTGTCTGGGGCTGTATCACCCAGGGAATCAATATGTTAACATATTTGAGAACCCTTAGTCTGCTGTGTACAGTATAATGGTCCACACCCACAGTACTATTGCTATTTAAAGTACAGTACATGAATGATGATGCTGTAACTGCTATAATGATGTATTTGGTGCCACATTATTCTTCAGGTTTTCATCTGACTTTGAGAACATGGTAGTATGATATTCCAAAAGAACTTCACCAGCTTATTACTAAACTAAGGGTCCGACTAATTACCCAAATGTAGCCAAATGTAGCCGGAATGAAGTCAAATAATGGTCCTAGATGAATAAATCGGACTGCCAATCACTTCTCGACTAGTATTTGGTGTCACAAAGTCACAAAAAATTGGTAAACTTAATTTAATCTGAGTTAATAGATCGAGTGCATGTACCTAACCTAACCTAACCTAACCTAACCTCGACTAGTATTTGGTGTCACGAAGTCACAAGAAATTGGTAAACTTAATTTAATCTGAGTTAATAGATCAAGTGCATGTACCTAACCTAATCTAACCTAACCTAACCTAACCTAACCTAACACAACACAACTCAGATTAAATTAAGTTTACCAATTTTTTTTTTACATTTGGCTACATTTGGGTAATTCCTCGCTCCGTTGGTACATGCACGCGATCTATTAACTCAGATTAAAGTAAGTTTTCCAATTTTTTGTGACTTTCTGACACCAAATACTAGTCGAGAAGTGATTTGCAGTCCGATTTAATCATGTAGGACCATTATTTGACTTCATTGCGACTATATTTGGCTACATTTGGGTACATTTGGGTAATTAGTCGGACCGCTAAACTAACAATAAAGTTATGGTTATGTCTGAGAACAGCACTATTACCAGAAGGAGTTGTTCGATTTCGTTCATTTTTTATACAGATGCTCTTATTATAGCAAGTACAGTATTCTAAAAGAGGCAACATTTACTAGAGCCTAATAGAACCTGACATAACCAACCAACCTAACTCACTATCCTGGGAGCTCTGGCTGTATTTATTTTAATTCTGGTACAGTTGCGGAAATGTGTTCCGACATCCTCTGTGGTAACCCGAGTCTCCGAACAGCAACGTCTCAGTAGTATCACTTTATGAATGGATGGGTATTGGTTGTGTAACGACGGACGTGATTGGTGGATATGTTTGCTATACTGTAGGTCATATAGGTTGGCTGTTTGGAGACACGGGTTACCATGAGGAGTAGGAACACATATCCACAACTGTACCAATGAAAGCAACTTTGTGAAGCATCAGGGTGTAATTTTACTTTTTTGTGGAAATGAGAGTACACTCGGACCGAGTAGGTGGGTTGTGACAAATAGAGCAGACAACAACATGTCGACTCGGCTGTTATTTTAGATGCCTATTTATGGTAAATAATTTCTTCACATACAAACCATGTAGAAATGTCATTTTAGTGTCGTGATCAGTTTTTCACCCTGTTTTACCCCCACAATTTTCCTTAACCCACCCACCCTGCCCACTACAGGTGATATATGTTCATAGATGGAGAAATCTGAAAAGAAAAAAAATATAATTAAAATAAAATGTTGTTGCCTATTTTAAAATACTTACAGTACTATGTGTATAATGATGAGAACAATTGTGGAAAAAATGAACGAAACCAAGCATCTCCTTCTGGTGGTAGCTGTTCTCAGAAATTACTAAGTTAATATTAATGAAGTTATGTACAATTGATATTGGTAACTACACTGGAATTGTTTCTCACATTAATCAATATTAGTTAAAGGAAATTTTTCTGTAGGAGGTTAATGAAAATCAGGTAAAGAATCATTTTGTACCTTACTGGATTTTTGGAATTGGCTTTTGAACTGGGTCTGACGGTCATATAGCATGCCGGATAAATGGTACCGTTCTTGCCTCGCAAGCGAGATGTCATGGGTTTGATTCCCTGCTCACCTAGCAGTAAAGTAGGTACCTCTTGTAAGTCGAAAGTTGCGAATTCGTATTCAGGGAGTTGTTGGAGCTTCCAATAACTTGATGACATAAACCACTGACTCTTCAGGCTTCTACGCCCTTGACTCTTCATGCTTCTACGCCCTTAACTCATGAGACATAAAGGCAAGCATGAACTTAGCATGCTTCCCTGTTGGGCGCTGTAAATGCTTCTGCGCTTCACCTTACACAAGGATGTAGGGGGGTGCCCAATAAAAAAAAAATAATAATAATAATAATAAAAAATAAATAAATGGTCTCATACATGTATAGTATTTTTATATACATTATGTATACTGTGGTCAATGATTACCGATGGAAGATTCACTTATGGATAGCCTCCAGGAACGGAACCCATCTGTTAAATGGGGTGTGTGTGTGTATACTTGGGGGAAGAGATGGCACGTTATTGTACAGATAATAATGCAGCATGTCACCAGGGGGGTTGTGTACATCATTGTCATGGGGGGTAGGGACGGGTTGTGGGGCCAAGCCGGCACAGAGGAGTGTCAAGATGTGAGCGTAGTGAGCGAAATGGGAGTTATCCATTCACTGCTAAGAAGATTAACACCAAAGGTGGCATAAAGGGCAGTAATTCAATCGTTTTTTTTGTTCCTTACAAACTTAAACTTAGTTTTTGCCTTTAAGCATGTAGGTTGAGTCTGGTTGACTAATCAAAGCTTGTGTTTTTCAAATTTGGACTTTCCGGAATGATTTTTGAGATGGAAAAGAGTGTAAATGATTGCTAAATGGTCATGAATGTAGTGTTTTTGATTAATAGCATATTAAAAAATTATAAAAAAGGGCTACAAATACTTATAACTTATCAAAACCAACATAATAGCCTTTTTTTTCACCAATGGTTTTTGTCAAACCTGGATTTTCAAGGTCACTTTTTGGTGTTTGCATTATTCTGGACCATTTTGGCCATAATCTTGATCTCACTGATTTTGTTCGAAATCTCAATATATGCACTCCTGAACATGCTGTTGTCTGTAATTTGATATCTGTATAATTACATGTCCTAATGACATCTCATATATTTTAATAGTGATACTGTAACTCTGTTAGCCGGAACAGTTGGTGCAGAGCACTTCCCGGAATGAGAGATTTCTGGTTAGCCGGAACAGTTGGTGCAGAGCACTTCCCGGAATGAGAGATTTCTGGGTAACGAGACGACTCTCAAAGCTGGAAAAAATCCCTCATCCCCGGAATTTTCCGGGTAATGGAAAAAAAATTTCTCAGAAGTTCCAGAAATTTCCCATTACATCATCTCTTGAACCCGGAAAAATGTCCCTCATCCCTGGAATTTTCTGGGTTTCGGAAAAATGTTCTCTGAATTTCCGGAAAATGAGCCTGATTTTCATCTCACAAACCCAGGAAAAATATTCCCCATCCCCATAGTTTTCCATGTATTGGGTAAATTTTCTCAGATTTTTCCGGAAAATGTACCCCTCGGAAAATATTTCCCAAAGCCTGAATTCCCCTGAAAATTCCGGCTTTTGGAATGATTTTCCGAGAAAATTTCAATTCTGTCTATCGGAGAGTTCCAGGTTTGAGGGATTCCGGCTAATTACTCGCCGTATCTATGGTTTTTCTGAAAAACCATAGGCTTAACTCAAGCTAACTCCAAAGTGTTAACACCTCATGCGGTGCTCTTCCAAATGTTACAGTGTAGCATTATAGTCTTACAGGTGAAGGAGTCCATTTGGCATTTTTTTTTAGTTTGTCTTAAGACTGTCCTTATACCTTTTCTGTTGCCTGTCAGCATTGTGCTTGCCATTCCTTTGATGACTGCTAAGTAGCTGCTTTGGCAGTGTACTGTTGTCCATACAAATAACATGACCTGTTAGACTCACAACAGACGCTCTCTGTTCTCGGGTTGTGAGAATGGCTGCCGGCTTTGGTAAACTTGGTATGGTTATTGGTGGAAACTGTAATTACTCAGTAAAATTGAATTTAGGCAATATACAACACTACAAACCTGACACTATTACAACCTGATGTGTTATTTATTATTGTGGAGAAATCATTTTAATATGAAATTGTCGTTACATTACTATAGTAGTTGCTTTTAATGTTCCAGCTTTAACCTGTAATGAAAATAATCAAGTTTATTGACCAGATCAAAACTTTTAACATTCCCCAACTAGGCCTTATACTGTATTATATTTGATCTACAGTATTGTGTTTTCTCTGACATTAACTAATTGCTTAAAAAAATTAACATATTTGGTGCCTAAAAGATGTGTTCCTGAATTATCAATATATTAATAGAAATGATGTGTTAAGTCCATTATTTTTTGGAGGGAGGGGGAGATTTTATCACACCACTCTAACAAAAATTCTGAGGGATGCCATGATTCACCTTAGAGAATGGTTTTTGATCCACTCATCATGGTATTTTATACAAAATACAGTACCTATTGCATATTTTGGTGGACTGAATACAGGTTGGATCATAAGGGAACTCGGCCTTTTTGTGAACTATTAGCGAGCTAGGCAGGCTCTACTGTATATTTTTCTTGGAAAGGTGCAGACAGATTAGATAGGATCAAGTTTCTCCAGATTTCCAGTTCAGAACGACTGGTTTAATGGGAATATGTATATACTGTATTTCTCTCTTTCTCCCCTTCTCTCTTTTACTCACAGACAAGAACATTCTTCATATTTCCATATCTCTGCAACATCCTCTAACACAATACACACAACAGCACTCTGTTACTCATTCCTCAGTTAACTGATAGCAATATCCTTACTCATAAGCTTCGGTAGTTTTACCCAATCAAAAATAACTATATACTGATGCATTTCCCTCTGGACAGGTTGATATATGTATGAGTTTTAATCATGTTTAAACACAGTTTCTATTTAGTTATTTGAAAGATATAACTTTTCTCCTCAACTGTATTGGTATTTGTTCATCCACAGTTTTGCTCCATGGTGCCCAGCATGCAAGGCCTTGAAACCAGCCTGGGAGGATTTTGCAAGTTGGAGCAATGATCTTGAGATATCTGTAGGCCAGGTTGATGTGACTACTTCTCCTGGACTTTCTGGACGCTTCATGGTAACTGCACTTCCCACCATATACCAGTAAGTGTTTCTGGCTGGAATATAAAAAGATATAGTCAGCCTGATAGTACCAGAACTGATAAAGGCCATGTTGCCTTATAGCAGTGGTTCTTAACATTTTGCCCCATCCCCAAAATGCCTAAGAACATATTTTTTTCAAGTTCCCGATTCACTACCTTATTGCCTTTTTAGATCCAAATGAATAAATTCCATGTTAATGTCATATTTCTAGAAGTTCAATTGTATTTTATTTGGAATTAATGGAGGAATTAACAATGCTCTTTTTCTCCACAAGCATTTGAATGTTTGGTAAGGTGGAAGAAAGAGCACACTGCATCAGATCTGTAACAAAGCACTGTTAAAAGGAACTTGTGGAAAGGATGTCACTTTATTAATTTTGTCAGGTATATAATATTATATACACCAAACACACTTGGTGGTTTTACATTACCAGTTATTTCCAAATTTTGGCAAAGTTATATAAGGTTTTAGTCATGCACTGTTATTCAGCATCATTGCTGTGAATATCTGGTGGATCATCATACTATGTTGGACTCCATGTTCAAAACAACTTAGTAGGTGCATTGCTCATTAATTTTTGACATTTTGTGTTAGAAACAATGATGTTTTAGTATGAATGAAATTCCCATGTATGTCAGGTTTTGGGGTTCAAATTTTTCATGTAAATAGTTATATTTTTTGCAAATCACTTGTAATCTCCTATTGAATTTATTTTTTGTGCCTTTCAATGATGTCTTGATATTTTTTATTAATGTTTTATACATTATAATTAGCTGTTCCCCACAACCAGGTGATCTCTTTAATGCACCCCTATATTCCAATCAAGTTAACTTTTTGATTTCTATGTAAATATCTTATGTCAAAATATATTTTTTCTTGGCAGGGTATCATTATTATAGTCACACTATAATGGTTAGATCACAGATATGTGTAATAGTCTGCTGAGTTGCACTTATTTAAAACTATAATGAATACTTTATTCTTTCTTAAGTGTCAAGGACGGAGTGTTCCGACAATACAGGGGTTCACGTGACAAGGATGAGTTCATGAACTTTGTGGAGGAACGTCGTTGGCAGGAAGTAGAAGAAGTTCCTGTCTGGAAATCACCTGCCTCATTCCAGATGTCTGTTGTTTCTCAGTTCTTTAAGGTGTGTGTGTATACTGTATTTCTAATAATTGCAGTACAGTACCAGGTACATACATGTTATTCAGATACATTTTTGTTTGGCCTAGATTTTTCCTTGATAATGCAGGGTAGTAGAAATCAAGAGTAAATATACACACATTCTTCTCTGTTAGAACAAGTTCCCCATTATCTGCATGGTTTAACCACTTCATTACGTTATCTAGCATCACCTGCCAACAGCATGTCCTTTCACCCCAAAATCACCCATCAAGTGCTGCTTCCATGATGTCCGTCCCCCTCACCGTGTTTGTGTCTTTTTCCCCACCTTTCCATCTTTTTGGTCTTATATGCTCCCTCCCTTTCACCATCCATCTTGGAACTGTGCTCACTTCACCATTCTCTCACTTCTGAGTTCGAACACTCAATATGTCTACATGACTCTGCCCATCACTTATATTACTTCTACAGCTACTCTATATTTGTATTTCTTATTCTCTTCCTCCTATCTGCCCCACATACTTTTCTCAAACACATCATTTATCACTTAATTAGTCCTCTTTTGTGTTCAAAGTTCATTTATCACACCCTGTTCCTCCATCTTCTCAGCAGAGACATTGACAAGACTATGAAGTCCTCAGATGGAAAAAAAATGGAGTTAATTCTTGAAGTGCATACTGTACCAAAGACCAGACCCCAAAGAAAATGGCAGATCCCAAGTGAATGTGTTCCTGCTGATGGACTGATGATGCTTTCATTGATAACCAGTGTCCTTCATAATACAGTACTACTGTATAATATATACACACTAACCCTACACTTTACTCTCCCTGTAACAACTGAGAATGTCTTTTATCCTCTCTCTCTTGTTGATACTTTTATCAGATCCCTAAATGCCACAAATAAAAGTCTGAACACTTTTCTAAAAAAAAAAATATTTAGTTATGTTCCATATTGAAAATGCTTGACCACTTCCTTTACTGAGCCCACACTTCTCCTTTAGATACAGTACTGTACTCTGTATTTGTTACAATTCTTGCAGTAATGGTTCCTCTTGACACTTTCCCCAGGTACTGTTAACATATATACTTATTCCTCCATTATTTTTGCTTTCATTCTCATAACCTTCCCTGTATCCCAAGGTATACATCTATTCCTCTATTTATGAGAGGGATGGGTTCTCCCCCAACAAAATTTCAGAAGAAGGCTTATTCCATTAAATTATCACTCGTGCACCGTGACATGAAAACATTTCTACTTGGTCTCTTTTTTTTTTAATACCCTACAGAAAAGCCTCTTATTGTTGCTAAAAAAAATTGACAGTTCTTGTTTAATGCTTTCACTATTTACTTTCCTTCTAAATCACTCTGGACATATTCAACCACTCTTTTTGGAGCATGCTGCTGATTATGGTAACTGTTTCAGTCTTTGCGGATGGGTCAAAAATGGGTGCCAGGATAGGATGTTCTGCAGTGTCAGGGACATTTATTTTCTTCAGTGTATTGCCCATCACTGCCTCAATTTTTATGGCTGGGCTATGTGGGATTATAGCTGCACTGCAGTATATTTTTGCGTACTGCATAATGATCATTTTAAACATTTTACTATTTTCAGTGACTCGCGTAGTGCCCTGCAGACACTTGAGTTTTTTAACTCGTCTCACCCTCTGGTCGTCAAAATATTAGAGTGGCTCATTCTACTCAAGCAGCATGCCGGCATGGGCAGGTGGTTCAGTTCTGTTCGGTACTTGCTCACGTTGAGGTGGATGGCAATGAGGTGGCCGATGCGGGGGAGAGGCCTGCGGTGGTAGCTGCAGGCTAGCTCCAAAGGAGGCCTCTCCCTCACCACGACATCCACCCTGTACTCTAGGGGACTGACCATCGCTTGTGGCAGGACCAGAGGGCCAAGTAGAGTGGGGATAAACAAAATGCGGGAGATAATAATTGATGTGATGAATCCGTGGCGGTACCCAATGATGCCTCGCTGGTTACACACCACCTTGACTCATCTCCATATCGGCCATGCCTGGTTGACACACAGGTACCTTATGAGTGGTGGTGCGGCTAACTATTGTGACGATTGCCTGGTTCCGTGACTGTACAACACTTGTTGGTCAAGTGTCCCAGTCTGGGGGACCAGCGTCGTAGTCACCTCTTCAGGTGCTGTGGGGGAGATGGTTCTCACACTTCCTCTGTGATGCTGGGGGAGGAGTCATGCTGCCTGGGGGGATAAGGCTCTAATGCTTTTCAAGGAAGCTGACCTATGTTTTTTATAGGTTTACAGTATTTATTCTTGTCATTTCCGTTTTGTTCATTTTATTTCCGGTTTTGTTTTATTTTAATTTTAGTGTAACCTTTTACCATTTATTATATCTGGCACCATATGACCTTGGCTGTTGTTGCTCTTAAGATAATATTCATAATCATTCTAAATCACTGTCCATTACTTCACTATACTGTCATCACTCCTTACATGCGATTGGCACTTGATTGCCCACCTCCACTCCTTGTAATTTTCCTTCCTGGTCTTGTACCCACACAATACACCTGCACCTCATAGGACAGCACTCTTTTAATTGTTAGTCTATTGATTATAAAATTTTCTTTTCATTTGATTACTTTAACTCGTAGATTCAAAGACCATCCTTTAAGTAAGGCACCTACTGTATGTACAGTACTGTATGTGCAATCTTTTATACGGTAGTACAGGGGGCCCCCAAGTTTGCGGATTTTACTTTGCGGTTCTCGGTTATTCGCGGATGACACCCTGGTTGTACCCAAGAATGTCTGTGGGTAGTTTTAAAGTTACCGTCAATTTTGCAGCTGGGATAGGGAGCCATTCATTCTAGAGAGGGTAATTTCCTTACGTTAATTGTAAATGTGTGTGTGTGTGTGCGTGCGTGCGTGGGGACACACAAAACACATACAAATAAATGATAATGGGAAAATACTCTTACAAATAATCAGAAACAAATTTATAAAAAATTTGACAGTCTACCCTCAAGTCTGTGCTCTATTACAGTACTTTATTAATAGAGCACGGACTTGAGGGTAGACTCGCATTTTTAATAAATTTGTTTCTGATTATTTGTGAGAGGATTTTCCAATTATTATTTATTTGTGTGTGTGTCTACACACACATACACAATACTACACATATACATTACTACAGGTTAAAGAAATATTTTCGTAAAGGCAAACACACAAAGGCAATATACATTTCTTTGTACACAAGTAAAAATCTACCCCCAGGTCTGCAAATGTTCGGCCATTTTGAGAACCTAACCCTCTCGAATTTGGGGGGCCCCTGTACTTTGATATACAGATTTTGCTATTGGTCATATCTTTATCCTTTTAGTGTATATATTCATGTACTGTATTCATATTCTATTATATTTCAGCTTTTTATATGAAGAAATTGTAGCAACAGAGGAAATGGGGGTGATAGAGGCTAGGGTATGGATTGAACATGGTAGTTGAGGTATGTAAAGGTGACTGTAAGAAAGTAGAAATGGTTGTTGCTACTGGTAGTAGAGAGGATTTTACAAAAGAAACATCTTCCAGGACAAAGGATCGATTTAAGTGTAAACATTCCCAGAAGACATGGAACAAGTGATAGACCTTTCGATAATTTCTGCTTAACTTGAAATAACTATAACAGGTACTTATTAAAAACTTAGTGATAATTAATACTACTGTACTGTACATGCATGTAGTAAATTGGGAAATACTGTACACAAATTTCACTTAATACTTATAGATTTTTGTCTTAAGTATCTTCATTTATTAATACCTCTAGAGCTATGATAAACTCACCTTTTTTTTCACATACATTGCCACCTGAATACTAAGTAATATAATTTAATACCATTTTTAGGGATACCATACCTATATCCCCATTTGAAGTTTTGTTCTGAAATTGTCCATTTTCTAAATTCCAAGTTGACCTATTAAAAAAAAATCCATCAACCTTGTACAGTACAGTTCTTCAGTTTGACTATCCACTATATATTACCAATTGTGTACTGCACTTTTGAAATGACCTCATTAACTCTTATCCTCTTAAGTGAAATTATGGTGATCATGCATTAATCTTCCTATCGTTACCCTACACTGGTGGACTAAAGAAAGTGTTACTTATATAGGCTCTGCTTTAACATAGTTGTGGCACTTGGAATTTACTCTACAGCTTTCTTAAGTATAGTACATGTACTTCCTTCTGGGCAGCTACCTTAGTACAATCAGCCTGAGAATCTGTTTCTCCCCAGTTTTTACTTTATTTCTGATAGCAGACAAGGAGGGACATGGGGTCTGCATTTTAGCAAATCTCTCAGGGGTGATTTTAAGGGTTTTAAGTTCTGAAAGTACAAGGGAATGAATTCCCTTTGACTTAGCAGTTTTGGTTTGAATGGCCTGAGCCTATTCATCCCAAGGGACAAAGGTGCAATTATTCAGATCACTCGAGTCACGTACATTAGGAACATTGCCACTCAAGACACTACAAACTTAATAGGTGCACGTAACACATTAACTCAACCAATATAACACCAGACCTGGGGGAATGAGTTAATTCCCGAGACAATCAACAACTTTAACCTTCTCACAGCGATAAATGTCAACATAGGTAGAACTTCATCAGACACCATATCTGATAGAGATAGGGAAAGGTAGAGGTGAAGACCACTTGATCTTCACCGGTAGATGGAAGCAGCGGTGAATTCCACGGAACTTGAGGGGTAGGTGGAGACAGTGGTGGGTTGTGAGTCACACATCTGGCTCTTCAAAATTGGTGATTGGCCCCATATAGATCACAGGGCCATCCTCTGATTTTGATCCAGAGGGCTGAGGCTCTTGAAAATCAATCTTGCAGGAACTTTAGATTTTGCCAAATGTGAAAATGTGTTTATTATGTACATTCTTACTGTACATAATGAATTTTCTTTGCCATGGAGCTTTATTTTGATAAGAAATTTATGATATTCCTTTGCTCAACTTTACAAGTCTATACAGTACTGTAGTTTTTTTCAATCACTTTAAAGTCTCATTTTGAAACAATAAATTGTATGTCACATTAGTCAGTAGATTAGAGCAAATACTGAAGTATTCACCTGTCACCAAAAAAATTAGACCCCTACTATGTTGTTTTACCCCTGAACTGCAGTACAGTACCTTTTGACTGGCCCTTGTATTTACAGTAAAGAAATAATTTCAGGCGTCAGGAACCCAGACATTGACAAACATACCTTGTACCTGGACTTGTCGCACCCAGGCTTGAAGCACACAACCACAAGATATCTTGTTCCTTAGTGGTGTGCTGGTGTACCCATATTGGTTTTCTCTCTCATCTCAAATTGTTTAAAATTGTATGTAAAATCTTTCATGGTATATAATTTTTAATACATTAGACATTCTTTTTGTGTGGCACCATGAAGTAGTGAGTTTTAGGGGCAAAAAACATGACTATAGAACACAATATAAATCAAAATTTGTACCATATTTTTTATTTATTTATTTATTTTTTTTACCTTCACACAAAAGTGATTCCTTGTGTCATCAAAATCCATCTTATTCGATCCACAATTATATGGGAAACAAATTCATATTCCATTGCTCGGAGTTTGGCAGCCCAGCCCATAATAAGGAAGTGAAGGTTGGTGTATTTCCACAACATTCACAATTTATGATAGTTTTCATGTCTATTCAGTTTGTCCCAATATTAAAACACTCGCCACCAGTTACCATATACAGTATGTTAACAGGGTTATCAGTTGAGAAGACTTTTATTAGCAATGGGTATTCTCTTCAGTTGTGACTAAAGCTTGAAGCTACAAAGAGCATACATGTATAGAAATATAGGGACAACTTCAGAAGTGAGGTCACTTGAGAAGATGCAGGTCATTCTCAAATATTGACCTGTGTGGTAACTAGCTAAATTCAGTCATGTAATACCCTCAAGACCAACATTTTTATCAGATCTAATTTGTATATACTGTACCTGTACAGTACCATTGTTTTCCATTCACCCTTTAATTTTGTCTCCCAGCTGGTCTCAAGGTACTTATTATACATACCACTGTGGTCAGCCTGCAGCAGATTAAAAACATCCATTAAATCACAACATGAAAGTAGAAATTGGTTGAGTCTATAGTTAGGTGAAACAGGTGAGGTGTGAGATGAGATGAATGTGGTCAAATTAGGTCAGGTAGCATTGCTTTTATTCTCACACGGGTTTATTACTAAGTGAGGCATGTTGGCGTGATGATGAGTTATAGATTTGTACGTGTATTGGCAGATGGTGTGAGCGAGTGAAAAATGAAGGACAATTAGATAACAGTAGCTGGTCAGGTCACAGTACATCTAACTTAAGATGGATTGATATTGAATTTTAAAACATGTTTGGTGAGTGTTTTGTGCAACAAGGGTAACATCAAATAGCAGCCACTGGCAACACCGGCTACCATGAGTTGTCAGTTTAAACCACAGTTTCAGATTACATTAATATCTAACTTTCAACTCATTACAGTACTGTATTACAGTGTACTCAGTTAATATGAATTTCATGAATGTTATGAAGGTTTCTTTTTTTTTTTTTATATGGAACTTGCTTCTTTGGTTGGGAACTGTAAGATAAAATGTCTATCCTCTCATTTCTTTATTATAATAATAAGTATGAAAAACATGGTGACTACAAGAAGGAAGTTAAAAAAAAATTGGTAGCTAAATGTTATTTTTGTGTAAAAGTTTATGGATAATAAATTTTCTTCTCCCTCTTTACAAAGGTCAAAGTTAGGAAGTTGACAAGTTGGGTGAGTGAGAGGCACAGTATGTGCTGATGGTCTTTACGCCTTAATTCACATATTGTGAGCACAGGTAGTTTGTCATAAAGGCACTTCTCACATTGCAGTTGGGTTCTTTCACTTATCATTTAGTTCTTTGTTGTGTGTTATGTATGGAACTGATATCTCTTCCTTCACTATTTATTATGTTTTAGTTGAAAACTTTTTTCCATTGTGATCATCACGATCACTATACAGTATAAACTTAAACTGCCAGTTTTGGGCAAACTTTTGATGGATGATGAACTGGTTTATGTTGTTGTGCTGCTGCATCAGCATCATTTCTGCAACTCATGGCACACAAATTTTTAACATTTGAATGCACATTAAGTTTTATTATTTGGGAAATATAGGAAGATCCTGTACTAAAAACTGGAATTTTGACATTACAGGTTCGATGTATACCCCACCTGCCAGGAGTTCATGTTTGTTGGGTTTTGAAAATTGATATGCATTTATCTGTCTGATGTCTGCATTCATGCCCATTGAACACCATCATTACCTATATTAGTTTTATATGGAGTGAAACATATACAGTATACACATTTGCTTGACTTTAGTATGTTAACAACTAAGTACAGTGAACCCTCACTTTACGCGGTCAATTGAACCCACGGCGGCCCGCGTAAAGCGAGAAACGCGTAAAGTGAACAACATAACATATGGGTTTAATTGAAATAGAGACCGGGCCGACCCCCAAACTCCACTTTTTCAGACACAATACCTACGTTGTCGTAAAAATAACTTCTTAATTTTATGATGGTATGCACACACAATTAATAATTAAGAGAAATATAAATAATATTAGGTTTTTTAACACTTAATTAGTAGAAAAGATGGCTGGGCACACGGGGATGGGGGGTTGGTTCCGAGGCAGAGGGCAGATTATTGGCCCTCACCTACATCACTTGTATCAATTGTATCACTATCCACCACAGAGGCTTGCAGGGCCTCTTTGTCAAACCCCTCAAAGTCCATATCCTCACTATCATTATCACTGACTTGGGCCGGCTGTGGCAGGTGAAGAACTCGGTAATGTTTTGATGACTGGGCGACCTTGTGTGCACCCTGCTTGCGCCGCTCTCCGCGTAAAGTGAGCATTCTGTGTTCGGCAGGGTACCGCGTAAACGTGGAAACGCGTAAAGTGAAACCGCGTAAAGCGGGTTTTTACTGTAGTATGGATATGATCATAGGGTGAGCTGGTTAGTAATGTAGGAGCATATGTTGCTTTCTTTGGTATTTTTTCTTAATCTAAAAAAAAAATCTATATATATATATATATATATATATACAGTATATACCCCTGTATATATACTGTATATATAATTTGTCAATATTAAAGTACAGTACAGTACTCTAACTCGCCAGGCCCTGCAAATCCTCATGTTTGTTTCCCATATTCCATACTCACTAAAACAGGGTTGGATAGGTGCACCAATCCACATTACGTGTCTGTGCTCACCCCGTGAAGGTGAGATGCCCTCAAATTTGTTTTACAGTGTTGTATGATGACCCCTGTGGGCACTTAAACTTATTGTAATCACGTACTGTATGTTGTATTTAGGGATTTATAATTAATAGATTTTAGTTATCTTTTCTTATACTTCCACATAATATGCAGAGGAGCCTCTTGATTTACAACTTTCCATCCATACCTACACACATATGAAAATACTGTACTTCCATTCTGGTGAAGTTTTTTGACATGATTACACTAAGGAGTATCTTGTATAGAGCTGTGGAATGTTGTAGATTTCTTTTAATGTATTTTTGGATTGCTTGATTAGATTTTTTTAACATTTGGTGTTTCTCATCATATTAACGTATGGTTAGAGTGATTTTTTTTGTTTCCAAATTAGACAATTAAAAGTAGCCTTCCACAACTGCTCTATCTAGTCTTTTCTCTGTTGTAGCCTACTTCGTAATTCCTCCTTCAACACGTGTGTCTACTGGCAACATTCATCCCTACAGGTCTTTCTTGCATCTCACTGCAAGAAATTGGCAATTGTTTCACTAGTTCACTAGCCAGACTAGCATGTACAATTCAGCAGGAAAGGTTATAATTGTTACTGCCAAAGCCTTAACAATACTGAAATGTTTAGGGAGAATAGGACATTATAGATAGTGTAGATGTTACCCTATCCTTTTCTACTCAAAGTGTGACCCTTAAATTGTCATTGAAGAGTTTTCTTCTTGTGTATGAAATTATTGAATGTTTCACTAAATATAACATTCCTTTACAGTTGTCAATGGTGCTTCGTTCAGTCCACTCGGTACTAGTTGAGGACTATGGACTTCCTACATGGGGCTCTTATTTGGTGTTTGCTCTTGCCACGATCTTGGTTGGTGCTCTGCTTGGACTGGTATGTCTTCATAGTATTGTTTGCTAGTACTGTAGTTGTAACTTCAGTTTGGTCACATTTATTGCAGATTCAGTTAATTAATTAAAATATATGTTCAGGGCAAATGAATTTCAGACTTGTCCATACTCAGAACAAATAGAAACATGGATGGCTAAATTGCCTATTAACTGTATTATGTATTCCATACTTGAAAAATCATACAACACACTAAAAATTATGACCAGTCAGTTCTGGAAGGGTGCCTAATGGCTGACTACACAGTTTAAAACTTTTGTTATTTCATTTGGTGTGATATGTGTACAGGAGGAACATATTAAAAATTGGTGTTTGAATACAATGTATGTTGACCAAATCCTAGCAAAGCATTATTATGGTGCAATATAAATTGAAGTATAATTTTAACAGTTTTATGTTTCTTATTTGCATTATCCTCACAAAGAAACCTCAAAAAGTTTGTCAAACCTATATATTTTGGGTGACAATAAAATTTCCAAATGCATTAGGTTTGGTAATGAACAGAACAGATACTATATACGAGTATGTGCCATTATACAGTACTGTAGTTGATTTACTTTGCTGTTTCAAGTCTTAATGTGTATTGCAAGCCAGGTTAGAGTAATGTAACAAGCTATGGACTGTTATTATTTGTATAAAAGTAATAAGAATCTTTTGTTGTAAATTCTGGTTTGGGAATTTGCATAAATGCTTCATGGGTTACAGATCTTGGTGTGTATCATCGACTTTGTGTTCCCGCCTAAAGCACCAGGGCCAGCTCCAGTAATCACTTCAGCTGGGCTCAAAGCAGATGATGATGTGAGTTCCATGGAATCTTTATATTTAATGCTACAAATGTCCTTGTTGAAGAATTGTTTACATAGAACAGGGCATTTAGTAATCACACAAGGGGCTTTCAATACCCCTTACTGACCTCCTCCTTAACATCGTCTAGGGCTATAGGGCTTACTTTGGTCGTATAACTCTTAACATCCCCCTCAAAAAACTAAGATATGGACAGAAAAGTTGAGATTTCGTGTTAGCCATACAAATTGACTGGCATAAAACCGTCAGTTAAAGGTGTACAAACTCAAAACTGAAAAAAAATCTAGCAACATGAGGTGATAATGTCTATTACATCATAATTCTGTGCTATTCCTCGTCATGTTTCAAGGCGGAGGCATTAACCCTCTGGTATTCTTGGAAATTTCAGCCCCTTGCAGTCTTTTGATGCAAATAGCATTGTTTACAGTCTCACCCCTTGTAGTATTTTGATACAGAATGCTTTGATAACAGGAACCGTTTTTTTTCAATTTAGTAAAATTGGGTAGAGCAATCCAGACCCATCTGCCAGCCTACGAGGCTAGTGGGAGGAATTTAGGTGGCTGATAGGGCCCGGTCCACTGTTCTCGCATTTCGGCTCACAGGAGGGATGCTCCCAGTGTGATTGAGTGGGAGGAGTTGTGCCAGCATGGGAGTGCTTAGCCAAAAGATCTGAGAGGATTAAGAGGCTGCCAGCTTTTTACATGTTGCTACATTTTCATTTAATGATTACTGAGACCCCTTGATCCTTATACATAGTAAGCAGTATTTTCTTTCCAAGTACAATACTTCTATCTGTTTTGTCATGCTACAAAATACTCTTCAATTCATAATTTACACTAATTCCTGTATTCATCAAATAATTTACATTGCAGGAGGAAGATTTAGTTGAAGACTCAGAAGTTAAATATAATGTAAAGAAAGAAAATCTTAAGTGCGATGTAAAGGAAGAAGTACCAAAGGAAGAAACTCATGAAGGAGAAGGAGAAAGGAGTGATAATGAGGTGGATCACAAGGAAGAAGAGGAAGAAAAAGCACTGAGTGAGAGTGAAGACAAGGAAAAGGAGGATTCACAAGTTGAAGAAGACAATGATTCACAGGCTGAAGATGATAAAGAATGTAAGAACTCTCCAGAAGTGAGGCGCCGGCGTCCCAGGAAAGACTAGCAGATTTAGGTTGATCAATAACCTAGCTTTCTTTGATGTTGATAACAATATTATATGTCCATGAAATCCAATTACTAAACTGTTTGGAATATAAAGAGTTTAGTCATCTAGAGAACTATTGTAGGTGATGTGTTATTAATTCCAGGATTGACAGGAATTCAATGGATTTGAGAAAGGGGATTAGTTCATTGACACATCTCTCCCTCACTATTTTGTTTGCTGGAGTATCTCTTTACATATACAGTATATTCATGTTGAAACTTGAGTTATTGAAGTTGTTCTGCTATACCACTAGTTGTGAGGCAGGCATAATGTGTTTGCACACAAGTGCATTGACCTCAACCTATTGTGTCTGCTGTACAGTATCTGGTACTGACCAAAAGTTTAGGTTGCCCTTCCAACTGTGTAATCCATGATAAGAAGCAGAAAACCCACCTAAGTTGTAGATAAATATTGCTTGGTTCTAATTTTGTTCATTGTTTATGTACAAAAAATTGTGCAAACACTTAAGTTTTAATAATATTCCATTATCAGGGCTTTCATTGATCAAACATGCTTCAGGCTCCTATTTTCCTGTACAGTGTTGCAAAAAATATTGTTTTGAAACATAATAAGTATGCTTTGTGCCAGTAATAACTAAATATATATACAGTACACATATATATTTTAGTTACACTTGCTTTGGCAGTCACAATAATTACAGAAGCTTTACAGCTTATCCATAAATTGTTTGAGTAAATCTTTTAATTTCCTCAGACATAAGTATCAGAAACCATAAACTACCACCATTACTATGACTATAAATTGGCCACAGATTGAACTGATCTGTGTTGGGAAAACTTCAATAAAATTTGATGTTTTTCTTGTTGCAACATTAGCATAAATGTGAATTATTGATATTGTTGATTCTTCACATTTTTTGTGTGTAGTTTAATTTTGATTCGCAATCAACTTATAACAATAGGCAAAGCCCTTGTTAACATCTCTTTTCTGCTAACTTTGTATCACTTATGCATCCAAATTACTAAATGCTACAATAAGCATTAGGTGGTGTTTGCAAGTATAGCAGCAGAATATGTGTGTACAGTAAGTCCTCGCTTAACGTCGTGGTTCCGTTCCTGAAAGCCGCAACGTTAACGGAAACAACATTAATGGAATCAATTTTCCCCATAAAAAAATATATATAAAATACGGGAGTTACGTTCCTCAGCTTCCCTTTAACACATAAAATACATTACATATACATAAATTCAATTTAATTTTATAGAAAATAGTATATATTATACATCCAAAAAGATAAATAAACTAAATCATTTTGTATTGTACTCACTCATGGGCAGAGGTGGAGCAAGTGTGTGGTGGAGAGGAGGAGGATGGCAAGTCACTGAGACCCGGAGGGTGGCACCTCCTCCCGCCTTGACTGGGTGATGCGCCGTACAAAGTAGTCCGTGACAACGTTATACCAAATCGGCGGGACGTTTTCCAAATCATGGGTATCTAAAGAATAGCAACATTATAACGAAACAGCATTGTTGGGGGCAACGTTAAACGAGGACTTACTTTATTTGTCCATGTTGATGAAAGCACTGATGTTCAATCATGTGGTGCTATGCAGGCACTATGTATGTTGGTGTTTGGTTGGATTCATGAAATTTTTAATGTAAGGATGGTATGCACAATATTACTTCTCAGAATGGTCTTTAGTTCAAGTCTTGGGATATCATTGAATGTATTGTACACATTTTATATATCATATTCCTAACCATATGGATTATTCAGGATAATTTAGACACTGTATATATATATTTGCTTGACCATCTTTTTACAAGTGTTTTAAGTTTTGGATTTTACTGTCCTTGGTTCTGCAATATTTTTACAGAACTGCTTTTGTGGTGGCTCACACAATATTCATCTTCAATAGTATACTGTATGAAGAATATTTGAGAACTGGGAGTACATAGGATCATTACTATCCACTTGTTTATCATTTTAAGTATCTTTTTCATTTATTTCCTCTCTCTCTCTCTCTCTTCATTTCTCTCTTTTCCTCTCTCATGAAGTTATCAGACTGTAAGTAGTGTAATTGTTATCCCTTTGTACCAGTTATGTGCAAATAAGACCTTGGGATGATTTCTTACCTTATTATTTTTTTAGGATATGCAATTTATTTTTATTTGTTTATTATTATTATTCATACTAGTGCCTGCTGACTGATGGAAGTACTGTACAGTAGTTGTTTGTTTCCAACTCAGGCATAGAAATGGAGATATTTCATTGTACCTAGTTTAGGCCAAATTTTCCTACGGTATATTCCATTAGTTCGCATTTTACCTCCTTTATATAGTTGATTCTGTGATATTACCAGCAAGTCAAACTACAGATTATTAATGTATGAGATGGTGTGTGTTTTTGCTCATGTTGACAAAATGATTCTACGGGATAAGATTTGACCTCAGACAGTAGTTTGACGTTTGTTTATTATAATCAAGTACTTATTGCATCAGTCCCTTGATGCATAAAATTATAATGTCCACCAGATTATATAAAATGCAGGGTAGGATTTTAGGTATCTGCATTACTGTTGATCTGATTTCAGTCAGCTATATAAAGAAATATACAAGATACAAGCATCATTGATATACCATTACCAAATTTAAGTTTGGCCTATTAGTACCAAATGTTTATAAACATGAATAGTGTGTATCGCACATGCACACAACATGGTCTCGAGTGTGGTATAGTGGATACTCGTCTCTCGGACTGGGTTTAAGCAGTGTTCAATGTGGTTAGTACTTTGATGGGTGATAACCCAGGGAAACTACTCTAGCTTATGCTGCTTGACAACACAGCTGGGTCCACCATGGTATTTCACAGACCACTTCTTCAAGCAGTAGGGAAGGACTCAATTCAGGTTTGGAATTAAAATGGCTTTAAAATTATTTACGGACATATTTGTGTGTGTACCTTTGTGTAGTATTCACCTAAATACAGTTCATACCTGGATAACTGATATAAAAGTGTCTAGGTTTTATTAATCAGTTGAGACTGCAAAATTTATTTTGTCTTGGTTGATTAAGTAGTTTGTGTTACTCTTACATTTTTGTTTTTCTTTGTTCACATATTAGGTACTTGAACAGGCAAGTAAGGTGTTCTGTGATTGTAAGAATCACCATGTAAACGGTGCGATAATTCAATGTACAGTATCTGTGAATTGTACATTTGCATCACATACTGTACATCGTCAACTAATGTGATATTATAGTTGGAAGGCATCAGTTGAATTTATTTTAAATAGATACTTTTACCCCATTATGTTGTGTACATAGTATTTTGCATGAGTGGCATTCTGGGAGAGATTTAATTAGTTGGGGTTTAGTATGATAGAATTTCATTTCCTGCACACTTGCTCACTGATGTAGACAGTGTTGCATTCCTACCAAAAATGCTCTACTCACTTCGTGGAAGCTTTTATCAAAACATACAGACTAACTAATATATATATATATATATATATATATATATATATATATATATATATATATATATATATATATATATATATATATATATATATATATATATATATATATATATATATATATATATATATATATATATATATATATATATATATATATATATATATATATATATATATATATATATATATATATATATATAATTTTTTGTCCCTACATTTCTCTTTTACTGTATGCCCTTAGAATTTTTTGTATTTAATGAAAAGATCATCCCCGATTATCAAGTTTATCACCACATCTTACACATATCTTGCGTGTTCCTCTGTTAAATAGAACAAGATTGTAATGAAATGGAAAATGTATCGGTATTTATTAACCCTTTCACTCTTGGAAGTGAACAAAATTTGTCTGAGCTGTAATGCAATAACATTTACATTGTTGACCTCTTAGTTAATCCGTGGCTTAAAACTGGGGTTACCGAGTTATTTTATAGTAGCCCATATATAGGCTCCACCCACCTATTGTCTTGTCCCTGCATCTCATATCTGGGAATTAAGTTCTCCCTTTTTATCTTTGTGAGCATGTGCGTATTAATTTCTTTATAATTTTGTGGCTTTTCATGTCCTGGCAGAATAAGTTAATGACAACAGTGATGAGAAATATGTGCCTAATATTGGTGACTGACAGTAATGATTATAAGTTACCAATGGTAATATATATAAAATTTATGATTTACCAACCTTAAGTTTTCTTTTCTGTCATGCAATAGACCTTAAAGTATATTAGAAGAATATTTAATTCTCATTATTTGGTGTAAGACCATGTATTTCTTTAGTACTTAATCTCCCCATTAACTGGAATCCCTGGTCCCTGGAACTTTTCAATAGCTGTAATTGAGTTTGAAAAATTCCATACGAAAACTCTTCGTTCTGGCCCTGAGAATGATTTCCAAGGATGAAATCATGCACATTTCTTGGAGAAAAATAAAGAAATCTCACTAAACCTCTCTATTCTGGACATGGGAACAAATTTTCCGAGAGTTCCGAGAGATTGCATCATGCTCCGACGCCCCCACGTGCAGGGCACTTGGGTAACTTGTGCGTTTAGTTCATATTTTGCTGCCATTGTACAAGTTTGTTCCCTCACTAGCTGCTGTTTTTGCATACAATTTGTGTTGTGCAGTACTGTACATTATTGTACCAGGACACAATTGGCCAAAAATAGTGTTAAAGCAGTGTTGAGACATAAAAAGTGATTACAGTTACATACACTGTACTAGACATACAGCAGAGTGGGGAGTGTATGCTTACTGTGAGCTAGTGTTTAGGTGTATGTATAGTGTACAGTGAATGTACAGTATCTCAGAAAAGTATCTGCCAGGAAGGGTCAGATGACTTCCGAAATGCAACATGCAAATCATGATTATCCTGGGAGGGTTTGTATGCATGGCTCTGTGGCATATTGATCCTATTACTTTTAGTAACCGAACATCATATTAATTGCACTGAAATAAATACACATTGCATTACATATGTTAAACTACAGAGCAGAAATGTGCAAATATCAATATCTATCATCTGTGGTCTCAATGTTTCACAGTGTGGACAGATACTGTACAATCCCTCCTTCATGGAAGGAGAGGAGAGTGAACAGAAACAAAAAGGCAGATCATCCTGTGTCATCATATCACCATTTGGTCTACCTGCATCATATGACAAACTCAAGTCAACAGCATCTGCTGGTGAGTACAGTATGCAGTATTTTGTTTATTTATACTGTATACAGTAGTATATTTTGTTTATTTACAATATATTATGTGTACTGTACAGTGATATTTACTTAGATAAATGCAGCTCTGTTTGTCCGTGTGAGATGCATAGCTTAGACTCTCGGAAAACTCCCAGTACCCAAAAAATTCCAGGGATGAGAAATTTGTCTAAATACCCATAAATGTCTCATTCCTGGAAGACCTTTGTCACAATTATTATGGTTAACATGGATATCAAGCTGGTCATTCATGAAGTTAAGGCCCTGGATTTGTCTGGGGAATACCAACCCACAAATTGTGGAAAGATTCATGTACCGTAGTACATGTAACAGTACACTACGGGTATTTAATTTTTTTATTATTCAGATTTTGATTAATATGTGCAATTCAGTTCGGTGTCAATGAAAAGGAGCATTAGTTTCTTTTTGCCTCGTGTAATGGCTCAAGCTCAGAGTTGTCAGTAATATCTTTAAAAACAATCATGGATCTCAGCAGATTAGACTTGGTTCCTGCCTTAGTGGGTTCATGAGACTGTTTTCCTTAATAGCTAGGAGTTTTAATAATTATAGAAAGAGAGATGGTGAAGTTTATGCTTGCCAAATTTTTGTCTTTCATTGGTATTTCATTATTATATATTCACTCTATTGACATTTATATGCCAGAGTTACCATAGTGACTACATAAAATAATTAAACATTGGAATAACAAAGGTGGTCTGCTACCCATATTCATCAGTGGGTTCTTTGGCTGTAACATTTTATTTATATTTTTTTATCTAACAAGACTGCCAGGAACAGGTAAACAAAAGAAATAGATAGTTACAAGCTACCGCTATGTTTCTGGGGGAAGAAAGATTGCTTTGCTCTACCATCCGGAAGACAGTCTTCCATCGGAGAAGTCAACGATAAACGAAAACTGGAATTTTGCTTTTAACCGGTTAATAAATATGTTTTGGGAAAGAAATGACAGTACAGTACAGTAATTGTAAATAAGCATTTTACAGTCGGTTCCTACAAATATGAGTTTGTTTCTCTTTCATGGAGGAGATTATTTGCTGAGTTTTCATTCCAAGTTAATTACCAGTACTGCATGATCAACTAAGATCTTTAACTGGAGATGATTGGATTCTTCTAATGTAAGTGTTTTGTCTTCTGTAGAGAAGAAATCAACAACATGTACAGTTGCAGACAGATGAGTGGAGGTCACCTAGTCCACCATCACAGTGGTGGGGTACTCGCTGCAAATGATAACAGTTACGTGTAAGCTATCGGAGAGTTCCGGGTTTGAGGGATTCCGGCTAACGAAGATATTAATGTATCCATAAACTTTTCCTTTTTTCTAACTTTTAAGTCATTTCCTGTAAAGTGTTTAACCCCCAGGCACCAGTTAAGGAATACATGTGCAGTCAACAAGAAGAAAATCTTCACCTGGACCGATGAGTTTCAAAATGAACACTATGACTCCTGTTGTTTTGGTAGAGTTGATTTATATGATTGTGAGATACATTTCTTAATGGTTATGATTTATCTTCAGTCTAGTGCTTCTTTTTTATTTCAAGAAATTAGATAGGATGAAATATATTAACTCCAAAAAACAAAGACAGTAGAATTTACAACGTTGTTTTACTCACATTAAAAATTATTTCCACCGTAGGAGCCGAGTTGCCATGTGGAATACAATACGTATTATGAAAGGGAATAGCTAATGGTGGATCCTTACCAACATAATACTGTTGTTAACATTGTTTTCAACATTGTTGAAAAGAAAGGTGAAATAATCACATAATCCACACCAGTCATATTTCTGTTGGTGGCAATGCTTCCAACATTAATGCTGCAAACATTTTTGTGTAATATTCACAATACAGGTATTATTGATAACATAGTTCCCAACAACACATAACCAACATTGTTGTATTTATGTGGATCCACCTAAATTAAGAGACCGGGCTGGTGGCGTCCATGCCTTGGAGGCTAAATACAGTGTCGTTGAAGCAGGGAGCCCTACACTACATATTGATGGAAATCAAATGTGTCTAAATATTGTTTCCCTTTCATATAAAAAATTACCTAACTAACCATGACACTCTAGCTATGAGAATGGCATCTTTGCATTTTACTTATTTACCTTGTATGAACCTTTCTGTCCACTCCCTAAATTGTTTATTTTAATTCATTTATTTTCGTATACATACGTACAGTAATAGCATGCGATCGTAATCATCCTGAAACTTCTACTGCCTATTGCTTTCATAATTCACCGATATTATAACCTTATTTTCCATCTTATAACGTGATTAACAGTAAGAATTACCCTGGTAGATTAAAGTTACTATGTTGAAATAAAGATAACCAACCACTAAAATGTGTTTTTAACAATGACAATTAGCTTAACAATGTTCTTAAGCTATGCTTTCAGTTGTAAATTAAATTTGTATTTGTCATCGTCATTCATTTACTCATTAAATTGAATTTTTTTTTGCTCAAAACACAATGGGATATCTTTATTACAGCAAATGGCAGGAATAGAGTAACTAGCAACTCCACATATTGTTGTTGTTGTCATAACAGGAAAATGGCACTACCAATATATGCCAAGACTCAAGATCTTCACCCCTGGGTCTGATGACCTTCCAAATGATCAACGTTACTGAGGTCGTGTTCATTTCACAGGGTTAGTACTTATTTCTGATTGTGTAACAAATATGATATATCCTGTATATCACTTCCAGTTAAAATATAGAAATTAACAGTCATACATAGAAGAGATTAACAAAAAAGAAACACTATTATATTATTACTGTATATACTATGCCGTATACCCACATAAGAAATGTCTTCCACCATAGGAAAAAAAGATTACACAGAAAAGGAATTTCACCTATTATAAGTTGAAGCGAGGTTCCTGTTGCTCCTCAGTATTATAACTTATATTTGATTTAAAATACTGTAACATTATTGGGTGAAATATAAAACCTTATCCAAGAGGAAAAAAATATAAATTACTATGTTTTGTAAGCCATACACACTATTTCACATCTGGAGACAAATTGCTGTCAAGAATCAAATCCACTATGAAACCTCTTTACTATACCATATGTTAAGAAATTGGGTTAATTGGAATTAACTGTAAGTCATAATCACAAAATAAATACATTGACTGTTGATTAACACATTGTAGCAATTAATTTCACCTGGCGGAATGTGTTAGTTGCGGGGGTTAGGTTCCAAGGAATGGTGTGAATAGGCAAAACCATGAATAGCAACTTATACACTACTGTGTACCTATACCCCACAACCGACCAGCTGTGGCAGCACTCATTCCCTTTTAACTTGTCTAATAATTCAACTTTCTTTGTCAGGGTCATCCCTGACTTCTGCCTTTTACATTTCACTCCACTAGCCTCACTAACACAGACACCCGACAGTCTTTTAGGGGCCATTTCACACAGAAACACTAAAGTATTGAGAGTACACCACAAGATGCTGTGTGGGTTGACTCGTGCTGTGGGAAAATGCTCGCAAGCTAGCCACCATCTGCTTACCGACAATTGTCAAAATCGCGAACAGCAAACTCGTGAACGGCATGGGTCTGCTGTATAATGAATCGGTTTGAAACGGAACTTTCAATCATCATATGGAAGAGACTTGGTGCATTTGTCAGAATTTTTAGCCTAGTGTGTCATATTGTATAACTGAAAATGTGCAGATAATTACCATAGGTTGGTATCACTGGGGCTAGGAAGAGACGAGAAAGTGCATGAAGTAACTTGTGTGTGACACAGTGGGGTGAGTTTGGCAATACAAGGTAGATAAAACTGATTTGTAGGTAGTAATAGGTTCACAACGCCTCTTTTATTATGTATTTACGATTATTATTACTGCCTCCGGTAATTAATCACTTGGGGTTGGGGGGGTAGAAAAATACGGAGAGGCGAGTAAAGTCCAAGAGCAAGACCTCGACATAAAAAAAACTGAGACGAGAAGCTTGCATGTGTGAGTGAAAGATAAATGCCTACTTGGCAAAAATTAATCTAACCAGGCTCACACGGCCATTCAAACTATTGTACTATGAATTACAATACAGTGAGTTCTGCTATAACGCGTGTTTTGATAACGCGAATTTGCTCTAACGCGATTTATGAATTAGGAACGATATTTGTATAACGCGAACGCTTGTTTGCTATAACGCGATTTTTGCTTACTATTTCTCCAATTTTGTGGTATTAACTGTGAATATGGTAAAGAAGAATATCTCCAAGAAGCGTTCTGGTGATAGAATTCCCGGTGATGATCGTAAAAGAAAGGATATAACACTTGAAGAGAAGCTCGATGTTATCAACCTCAAAATCACCCTTCTCCCCCATCAAGTTACATTCATATTTTTTCAAGGTAAAGTGTTACATTTACTGTATGATTTCATTATTAGATATGAATGTAACATTTATTTAGACTGTGCTATCCTTTGTGTTAGGCTAACTACTAAATTTTTTCGATTTCGAGTAATCTGCACCTAACCCTATTTTCTCCATAAGCCCTGTTATTTCTATTACGCGATTTTCTATAACACGATATTTTACAAGAACACATTATCGCGTTATAGCAGAACTACCTGTACATCATACAATATGAAAAGAAGCACTGTAAACACATCATAGACATGAACTGAAAGCCTGGGGGTTGAAATGGTTTTCTTTCTTACTCTTAATCTTGTCCTTTTCTTCATTTTCCTTACTTTTTAAGCCCTTCATTTGACAAAGTTTTCTTTAAAAAAAAAAGGATCGAGCAGCATCAGTTCAGTTATTTGCTGTTAAATATTTCACATAAAGATCATGAGAGAACGTGTAGCTGGGTGAGTTAACAGGATTTACTTGTGTCTAGTTGAAAACCACTGGTGGGGGGAACAGGTAGAGGAAGAGGTGTTGCCATCATCCTCATTTACAATGAGATTTATTTTATATTCCATAATTAGTTTGTAAAGAATCTCTCTCTCTCTGTTCAGCAGGATAAACACACTTTGTTTATAAACATTAATGGCCAGACCCACAGGTGTGGGTTTGTGAGGGGGGAACGGTACTTGAGATTCAACCTGTGTCAATGGGGTTAAAATTAACTATTTGTATGGAGTAAAGATCCTACCTAAAAATGTTTTTCTCTGCAAAAAGCTTCAGTACAGTTCAGTACTGGGTCATTTGTAAAAACAGTGTTTGCTGCATAGGAAGTGTTGGAAGGGAATTTGTGTACTTTTACATGTCTCCTGATAATGCTTCAAACGTGTTTCAAACAACTAGACAGTTCTGAACTAGTGACATGGAAACTTTAGTGGCATGCAATTTGTGTTTACTTATTATATCACATTGTGTCTGGTTGTATTGGGGAGCATAAAACTTGAATCTGGAATTCCCATTACATTTACCTTTTTTTTGAAAGATGAATATTTGTTAATTACTGTATTTAGTTTGAGGATGCAAATAATTTTGAAGAAACTTCCTTGTACTATGATCTAATGGCCAATCACATCTTTTGAATCAATGTCACAAGTAGGATGAAAAACCATTAAAAGGAATAAAATTGCTGCCTGTCATGTTTACTCGGCAATCCATTGAAATGTTCATTATACCTGTACCTGTGCACATTGTACATGAGGTCCTTGTATTCTTTCAACTCCTATTAATTAGTACATTGCTTTTAAAGGAAAGTGGTCATGCTGTTTTGTTCATCTTTTGAGGCCAAGTATTCATCCAAATCTGTTGAATCATTGTTTTGTTTCATCATTATCATACCTCTTCCTGAAACTAAGAAGCCTATCTTTGTGCTTTGTATGATTCTGTGTGCATAATTATTTTATAATAAACACCATTTTATATGTTGACCTTGTTGATATCCTCAATATTTACTGGGTTAATATAAACATCAAATTCAAAATTAAATCCAATGTACAGTAAATCTTCCTAATATCAAACTAATTCATGCAAGCCTTTTCTCTAATAAGGAGAATTTCCTTAATGGGAGGGTTTCCTTTTTACCCAGTATATAGATGAAATAATACAGTACAGGTACTACTTGTGGTCGCGTAACATTGCGGAGGAGTGTTGATGACCCTGACGACTCTACAGAGGACTTTGCTGTCCTTTTTCTCCTCTCCTACCTCCATGATGTATTAACATCACCATCACCTCAACACTGCTGTCCCTTCAAATTAACAAGTCAGCACTGGGAATTAAGGTATTATGCTACTACAGCACAGTACAGTACTGTAAATGTTCAAATAATCTACAGGGTATTTTGTAGTACACTTATCTTTAAATCTTCTTTTTTACAGTATCAGATACCTGTAGATTTAAAAATAAATGTTGTAGGTATAGCATTAATAGATTGTAATGCTTGTAAGAGTCAGATATGGTTACTGATTAGCTACCTCTAAGGAGTTGGGTGTCTGCTGTATGGACGTTAATCGTCACAGGTTACAGTACAGTAGTTATGTGTTTTAAGTAAGCAATAACCTATTTTTAATTCTGGAGTTGGGTTAGGTAGAAGTTATTATAATGGAGACAGCAACTGGGGAATTTATTAGCTTATGGGAGACCGCAACTTCACATAAAGGACACAGGCTCATTATTTTAGCCATTTTTCAGACAAAAAATGAGTCATATGCCATAAAATACGGTACTGTGATCATTTTAAATATTTACTGTAAGCAGAACAAAGTAAATAAAAACAATTATATTATTGCAGGTGCACACCCTGTACATCTAACTACGTGGTGACAGAGAGTAAACCTTACGGTGGTACCCCACCATAAACAAGACACTACATTGGCATCATTGAGACATTCCCCTTAAATTTCAATTCTGAGAAAAAATTATATTTTGGTCAAAAATTTTGTAAGGTGTAAGTCTTACAGGATTTTTGGCTAAAAATACTTTTTCTATCATAATTACTCGCCACTTATGAGTTTTCAAGGTCACTTTTTGGTGCTTGTGTATTATTCTGGATGTAGTTAAGTAGTTAGGCACATTAGATTTTAGTTCTGAGAGAAAAAGTATTTTTGGCCAAAAATCCTGTAAGGGGTAAGCCTTACAATTTTTGGCATTTTCGTCCAAAAAATAGATTTTGTTCAAAATCTCAGTATAGGTACTCCTGAACATGCTGATTAAGGATCTATTAACCAAAATTTAATATCTGGATTAATATCTGTTGAAATGGCTTTTAGAGAATTTTAATTTCTTTTGCAATGCTTATTACTCGCCACTTTTGTGTTTTCAAGGTTACTTTTTGGTGCTTGTGTATTATTCTGGATGTACTTAAGTAGTTAGGCACATTAAATTTTAGTTCTGAGAGAAAAAATATTTTTGGCCAAAAATCCTGTAAGGGGTAAGCCTTACAATTTTTGGCATTTTCGTCCAAAAAATAGATTTTGTTCAAAATCTCAGTATAGGTACTCCTGAACATGCTGTGTGTGTCCCCCAGGAGGTCAGGGCTGTAGGGCATGTGTCCCCCCCAGGAGGTCAGGGCTGTAGGACATGTATGTATACCCCAGGAGGTCAGTGCTGTAGGGCATGTGTGTGTCCCAAAGGAGGTCAGGGCTGTAGGGCATGTGTGTGTCCCCCAGGAGGTCAGGGCTGTAGGGCATGTGTCCCCCCCAGGAGGTCAGGGCTGTAGGACATGTATGTATACCCCAGGAGGTCAGTGCTGTAGGGCATGTGTGTGTCCCAAAGGAGGTCAGGGCTGTAGGGCATGTGTGTGTCCCCCAGGAGGTCAGGGCATGTGTGTGTACCCCAGGAGGTCAGTGCTGTAGGGCATGTGTGTCCACCAGGAGGGGTACTCCATGATGTGTAGGAACTGACCAAATTATCACTTTATACTGTATATACTCTACTTATAAACATCATTCAGCTCAGCAACCTGTACATAAATGGTAATGAGGTTAAGCAATCAACCCTAGGCGAAATTTCCTTTACCTTTATTTGTTTGTTTACAATCTCAATACTATATACAGATATCAATGAAAAATCTATTATTGACTGGTATATTTTTAGTAAAAGTAAAAAGACCAGTCATTATTGCATACTGTACTTTCCCAAATAAGAATATGAAATGATTTCCAGAAATATGATCAAGAATACATTCCCAAGCTGAAATTAAATGTGCAGGGAATAGTAGTGATACAGAAATAAAGACTCAATTTGTTGAAAGAAATTTGCTAAGGAGTAATCAACTGTCATTCCCAAGATGACAACATAAGTTTTAAATTAATGTGTGCTTGGTTTCCTTTACTATACAAATAAGATAACTAATCTCCGAGGATGTGTTGATGGTATTAAAATATAAATATAAATCCTCTATAAATACCATAACAAGTCTATATACAACATATACAATTACTCTCAAGAAGTAGTAAATAATAATTAACAGTTTATTGAAAAAGTTCAGGAGCCCAAAGGCTGAAAATATATAGTGGAAATAAATGACTTATTACATACAAAGACATGGGGCGGAGGGGGGTGACAAAAGCTTTCATTAGAGAAAAGGAACATACAGATTAACGTTTACAGTGGAGGTCACATAGATCACATGTGCTGAGGTGTTGAACAGGAAACAAGTAGTGTAGTAATTCCCTCACAGATGGTGTTATGAGGGACCTACATGATGCTGTAACAACTCATTCACTACGTGGTGCCATAGTGTCACAGGAGCACCATGTGGCCTGGTGTCACGGGACCTCACTCACTCAAGTAGTGTACAGTCAGGTGCAGTCTCAGGCCTCCCTATCGTGGACGGATGAACACATCGCTGCTTGTTGTTGGATCTCATGGGCATTTATCACTGGTTACCTGGGACCTCACTGCTTGAAGGTTAACTTTGGTATGACTCGGCTGTTCCTGTTGCATTGTTCAGGGGGATAATGTTTGAAAATTTCTCTAAGTGCATCAGATTGCAAGAAAATACTCTAATTGAAAATAATAATTCAGGGGAGCATGCTCCCAGACTCCTACAATACAACTATGGCACACATTGGTCATCTATGACAACCACATTATACCCTTTACCTGAATTATTTCTTCCCTGCCCCCTTTTCTCCAAAGAAAATCTTTCTCATAAAAAGACAAACTTGTAAGACTATTTACCAGGTAGTATTTTTCACAACATTCTTTGTTTGAAAGACTTGAATTAATAATATCTAAAGTAATTTGACTTTCTGAACAGAGCAGCATTGCAGCACTCATTTGTGCATGCTCACTCAGCCAAATGTTTGTAATAAATCCCATTCTAAACTTCTTACTTGTACACTAAAATTTATACTGTAATCAATACTGATATATGGCCATTTTCCATCAGTCAGATTTGTAGCAACTTTTAAGATGGAGATTGGGCATTATATGCAGATTTCCAAGTGCCCCCTTAGCTGGTAAGGGTGGGTAATTAAAATACTATCCACCTACCTGTTACTATTAGAATTGTTTGAACTTTTTATGGTATTACTGTACACGTAAAGATAAAAAGAAAACTTGTTAGACACTTACGAGTTTGAAACATTCTTTAGATCCAGGAAAATATTTTCTCACTGAACTTCCCCTTCTACCTTGGCCTGCTGCTTGAGCCTTTCTCGTGCTGCACGTTTCTTGGCTGTTTTCTCTAGCATATCATCATAATCCTCAGCAAACATGGCTACCAATGCCTCATACATGTGATGGAGAGTAGCAAGGTCCTTGAAGCAAACCTGCAACATAACAAGATCACAAAAGTAAAAACCTATCCTTTAATCACTAATAAACATTGCTTTTCATAATACAAATAATGAATGATAAGAAATAAGCTTATATGCTCAACTGCTAAACAAAAATGTAAAATTTCTATCAGGACAAGTGGTGTGAATGAGGTATGAACAAAATGTAGAAATAGTAGTCACGGACAAAAGTAGCATTCCCTCCAGTGTGAAACCAAATCAGAATGCACTGAGCAGAGACTAGAACACCATCTGTGAAACATACAGCAACTTGATTGAAATCTGAGCAGCCAAGACACAAAAGTGTAAATCCATACATCACACTAACAGGGGATAAGCTGGGAGATGCATCAGCCTAACACAGACATCCCATGCAGTCACATGACAACATAGTTTTAACATCACTCTTATTCTAAACACATACTGTACATGCAAAACAAATAAATATATTTAAACAATTGATCATTTAATGTGCTGTTACTCACTGTCATATTGTCAAATGCTATCCCAACTTGTGCTGGCAGATCTTCTAAAAGTGGCACTTTGGCATAACGCTGTGAAAAATGGGTAAGTAGGATGTATCGAGCATTCATGTCCCGACCTACCTGAAAAGTGTTAAAAATCATATACCTGTAATCAAAATAGTTTTGTAATTGTTGCATATGATGTGAAAAGAGACAAGGCTCTGCTGGGCATAAAAACCACCATCACAAACTAGTAACCTTAAATTAAGTGACCTTTTGAGGTACAGTTTATTTTATTAACCCCTAGAGTGCATTGCATGTCAATAAGTGTAACCTTGGATGACTGTGGTGCACCTAAAAAAAAACTAAAAAAATTTTCCCACCACTGTTCAAGGGCCTTGCCAAGTAATAAATCACTTATGGGGTCATCTCATCAGTTGATTCTGTCAACCTATTGCACCGATCCACTTAGTATAATATTTTTGTCAAAAATTGTAAAGGGAGTCCCTGCTTATCATTATGTCTGTTCCTGAATAGTACAACTTAAAAAAATAAATAAATGGCATCATGCAGAGGATTAGGTTTTGGGGGAAACTTTCCACCAATTAAAAGAAGTAAAACAGAAATTCACAAACATTGAAGGTACAGTATTTGGATAAAAAATGGTGAAAAAAGAAAGGGGGTGAAAGTAACTTTTCCTAAGGGAGAAGTGTAACCTACTCACCTGAATAGCTTGTGAGGTAGTACAGTGTGTCTTTATTTTAGCATCCTCTTCAAGATCATCTTCCATTGTAGCTTCATGAATCAACAAATCACAATTTTGACCTGTATGGAAAATTTGATGTAACAAGTACTACATATATTTGTCAAACATTATGAAAATAGAGCTAAATTTAATCAAAACTTTTCCCTGGACATTGCTACTATCCTCTCATATGAGAAGATTACAAATATGTGACCTTTGAATGGCAAGGGGGCAAATTCTAGGAGAATAAGACTTAAGTATTTGCTAAAACCATAACATAATCCAGTGTATAATTTGGGCTTTTGTGGTGTAATGTTAGGAGGAGTTTTTATGCCAATGTATAATTTCTATGAATGGTGGTTAGGACAGATAATTTTCCATGCCATTTACTCTAATGTAATATGTGGAGAACTAAATAAAAGAAAAATTCTCTATTCTTAAATTTTAGATTTAAAATACTCGAATCTTCCATAAAATAAGACTATTTTGCAAAGAGGGTATTTGATTGACAGATAATTTACTGTATAACCCAAAGTAATTATGATTTGACAGAAGAAATTGCCAAGTTCTTTGAATGTGGATGGTGAAGTATGTCAATGTGAACAGACCAGCACAAATATATTTTAAAGTTTTTCAGGATGTACAGTACATATTAAGTTAGATAACCAACAACTTACCTATGTCAACAAGACCACTGCATGGCATAGTATCTCCAGAATATGCAACTTTCCAGCCATCTTTGTGAGTCCAAGCCACTCCAAATGAATTTGGGCAATGAATGACAAAAGTCATATCAATTCTTTTCATATCCAGTTGTGAGCAGAGATCATCGTAGCTTTCTTGGTCTAATTTCAAACCATCAGTAAGAAGTTTCTGATTTCCGGTAATGGTGAAGTCATTGAGGATAGGTTCAAAGTTGGCATGGTAGGAGCTGAGGTATGCCATAATTTTAAATGGGGCAAGAAGTATCAGCTTAGGTACCTGGGAAAGCAAATTCACATTACAAGATTTGTATCTTTCATCTGAATATCTTTACCTAGGTCCACCTAATAATCCACAGTTTAAGCTATAATGTACAGCACGCCCTTCAAATTCGTGGGGGTTAGGTTCTCAAAGTGGCCGTGAAGGGGAGGGGGAGAGTACACTTTCACTTGAAATAGAAATGTATATTCCCTTGATGTGTTTGCCTTTCGGACAATTTTATATATATATATATATATATATATATATATATATATATATATATATATAGATATATAGATATATATATATATATATATATATAGATATATATATATATATATAGATAGATATATATAGATATAGATATAGATATATATATAGATATAGATATAGATATATAGATATATAGATATAGATATATAGATATATAGATATAGATATAGATATATAGATATAGATATATAGATATAGATAGATATAGATATAGATATAGATATAGATATATATATATAGATATAGATATATATATATATATAGATATATATAGATATATAGATATATAGATATATAGATATATATATATATAGATATATAGATATATATACAGTATTCTCTGGTTTAACGGGCTCAATCCGTTCCAGAAGGTGGATTAGATTAACTTGAGCGATTAGATAACGAAACCATTGTTTCAATGGGTTTTTTGGTAATTGGTTCCAGCTCACCGAAAATTTCCTAACTTCAACAAAAATGGCGGAAAAATTTACTTACTTTGAGGTGTGTATGTAGAAGGCTCCTGGATGATGGTGATGATGTGCATTTGAAGTGGGAGGTGCAGGAGGAGAAGGGAGAAGAGAAGGAAGTGGAGGTGGAGGAGAAGCATTTTACTGCTTCTTGGAAGGTGAGTCACCTTCCATGAAAATGTCAGGAACCTCTGGACTGACAGATTCTCCACCATGAACATCCTCTCTCCTTCTTGAAGTGGAAGGCTGAGGGCTAGCATCATCCTCTCTCCTTGAAGTGGAAGGCTGAGGGCTAGCATCTTGTTCCCTCTGCCTTTTACTGAAGAAAGTGTCAATTGTGGTCTGTGGGGCATCTGTCCTCCTCACCATTAACTTATGTTTAAAGAAGGAGACCACTGAGTCCTCAACATGACACAAAGTTAGTTCAGTTTTTTCCACTTCTGGGTGCTTTGAAGCCAGTTCCCTGAACTTCTCCCAGTGGTAAATCACATCTTTCAACTGTTTAGCTGACATATGGTCATCACTTTCAATTTCCTCCTCACCACTGTCAGCCTCTACCCGTAACATCTCATCCAGTTCCTTCAAGTCATTAGGAGTAAGTTCCTCCTCATGAGACATCACAAGCTCTTCCACATCCTTCTCCTCCACTTCAAGACACAATGACTGACCAATGGACACAATCTCCTGGTCCAACTCTGTGTCATCCTCAAATCCCTCAAAATCATGGACTACTGATGGCCACAGTGCTTTCCATGAAGAATTGAGGGTTCTATTGGAGACTTCTTGCCATGATGACACAATCAATTTTACAGCCTCCAGGACGTTGAATTGTGTCTTCCAGAACTGTTTCAGTGTTAGTTCAGGATCAATGGAAGTTGCCTGATGACACCTCCTAAACATTTTCTTCATGTACAACTTCTTGAAGTTGCTGATCACATTCTGGTCCATTGGCTGTATGAGTGATGTAGTGTTTGGAGACAAAAACAACACTTTCACAAAGTCAAATTTATACTCCAAATTTCTGGCAAGGTCAGGGTCATGACCAGGAGCATTATCCATGAGGAGAAGAGCCTTTAAAGGGAGTTTATTGGTGGTTAGGTAGCTCTTGACAGAGGGGCAAAACACATCAACAGCCCATTCATTAAAGAACTGTCTTGTCACCCATGCCTTACGGTTGGACTTCCAATAAACTCCAAGCATTGTTCTTACCACTTTCTGTTGCTTGAACACCCTGGGGTTTTCAGAGTGGTAGACAAGCATAGGCTTCAGTCGGAAATCCCCTGAAGCATTGGCACCAAGCAATAGAGTGAGACGGTCTTTCATGGGTTTATGCCCAGGTAAAGAGGCTTCATCCTTGGTGATGAATGTTCTTTTGGGCATCTTTTTCCAGAACAGCCCAGTTTCGTCAACATTGAACACTTGCTGTGGAAGATAATTTTCTTCTTCCATCAGTTTTTAAATTCAATTAAAAACTTTGCTGCCCCTTCTTTATCAGCACTAGCAGCTTCACCATGCCTAACAACACTTAAAATGTCACTTCTTTTCTTAAATTTTTCGAACCAGCCTTTGCTAGCCCGAAAATCTTCAAATTCTGTTCCTGAAGAACCAGGTTGATCTGTCTTTAAATGTTCATAAATCTCCCTGTCTCTTTCACAAATGAAATCACCAGAAACTGAATCACCTTTCATCTGTTTTTCCCTAATCCAGATGATAAGTAACCTCTCAGTTTCTACGATTAGGGATCTACTTTTAAACACTCTTGTAGATTTGTCTCTCACGTTCACTTCCTTAAATTTGTCTTTTTGTGCAAGAATTGTCGACACAGTTGATGCCGACATGCCATATTCTTTGCATAGCGCATTTGATTTAATACCTTGTTCGTGTTTTTTTATTATTTCCTGCTTCATTTGGATTGAAATCACTTTTCTTGATCTCTTAGGCCCCATGCTGGATTCAAACAATGGCAACACGTGTTTTTCAAAGTTAAACTAGCTGTAAATAAAGAATATTTTCTTTAAAATAACACTGCACTGCACTATATATTGTCAATATGTAAAATAATTTTCAAAATGACCAATAATTTGCTTGGAAACACAGAAAAAAAGCGTTTAGTTGAAGAGAGTCTCAAGCAAGATGTTACCTCCAGTGAAAACAGAGAGAGACTGACGCCTGTTTGCTGTGTTAAGAGGCTGGATGCCGCGCATTAAACTAGTCACTTTACCTTCAATTTTGTTCAATAATTGTTAAAATGACTAAAAAATTGAATATTAAACTTTTAAAATAATTGAATAGTATAAACTTCTTGATATTTACAAAAATAGTAAGAATTTAAGCTAGAACCGATTAATGTATTGGCGGGACTGATACTAAAGCTGGTTGCCCAGTCAGTGCTGGCAACATGTTGGTCGGTTAAGTAAGTTAGTTAAAATTTTTTTTAGATTAGCAATTGAAAGATCCTTATGGGAAGGCAGTTCGTTAATCAGAAATTACGTTAACCAGTGTTGGATTAAGCAGAGATCTTTAATATATGTATGTATATATATATATATATATATATATATATATATATATATATATATAGAGATATGCATATATGGGGATGTATGCATATATGGGGATATGCATGTATGGAGATGTGCATGTATGTAGGGATATGCATGTATATGTATGGGGACTGTACATATATATGAGATATACATATATATATATACAGAGATATACATATATATATGTAAAGGACTATACATATATAGAGATATACATATATATATATATATATATATATATATATATATATATATATATATATATATATATATATATATATATATATATATTTTACAATACAGCACAGGTAAAGGAAATTGCTATCTCTAGAACGAATGGCTCCCTGTCCCAGCCGCAAAAATTCTTGCAACTTTAAAGCTACCCACAGACATTCTTGGGTACATCCAGGGTGTCATCCGCAAATAATAGAGGACCGCGAAATGGAAATCTGTGAATTATCCGGGCGTACTGTACTTCTATACACCACAGGTTGATGAATCACCAACAGGGCAGTATTAACTTTTAATTTACACTTGATTCTTTTATTCCTGCTGTTCTGTTTTTCATACTTAGGACATCATAAATTTTCAAACAATGTGATTACATATCCGATCAATAATTCATTTTATGCAAATATTGCCTATCAAAGAACACTTCCAATTAATAACAGAAAACAATCTAGACTCACATTGTATATTCCAGCTCGGTGGAAAGCTTTCCTTCTGGCAAGCAAGAGGCGGATGAACCCAATATGGTGGTCAGCATGGAGATGGCTTACATAGACAGCACTCAACTTCCGAAGGATTTCGTCAGATTTAGTTAATCCAAATAATCTAATTATTTGTCCGTAGGTTCCTTCACCACAATCCATTATCAGATTCTTATCAAAACTGAAATTAAACAAATTTTATTGAGGAAATGTCCCCAGTAAACATCAACACTTTATTTCTGGTAAAACAATCATACTGAAATTATATAAAATTACTGTAAAGTCTTATTAAATACAGTAATAAGAAATGCACTCACATAGTAGTAGTACAGTACATTATTGTACTACTTTCAGTGGCATGTATTCCCAAGAAGTAATGCTTACCTTATTAAAATTCTTCCCTTCAAAATTAAAATAGCTCTTTGTAGGTAGCAGGCAACTATCATACAGGGAGGTACTAGCACCTGGGAAGATATTGGAAGTATAATGTGTAGTCTAATGGCAGACCCAGCTACCATAGGGCATCGTGAAAATTATGACCAAGTCTCGGGTTGCTGATCTGTTGTATTTTAATAATTTTTGTATTTATTTTGGTTCAATTTTTTGCCCCGCCCCGATGTGAGTTGGTGACGTGTGCTCGGGTGGGCTAATCCCCGTAAAAAAAGAAGTTAATGTACAGGTGGTATTATTAACTGTATTGTATAACATTCTGTTTTTTGTTATTTAAGTCTCAGTGAATTTAAACCTGCTGCAATGAGTCCAGACTTTTCAAACTTGCAAGACAGGAGCAGTTGTCACCTGAAAATCTGTCCCTCAAATACACGACATTCAATTTGCAGTAGCCTCTTCCACCTCCCTGCAAGGTAAAATGATATGCCACTGCCAGACTTAAGATGAAAACTATTAATTCAAATTATATTAACCCACTTTTTCCAAATTCCTTGTAAATAAGATTCAGATGAATCTAATATGATGTGAAAAGCATTCTGATGCTGGAATTTCCCCTCAATAGTATTTGTTGCCATCACCGAGTAAAATTCCTTTTGCTAGAGATTTGGGCAACGAATGCACAGCATACTCCTGGTTGTCCCTCCCATACTACTACTCCATACAGCCATATACAAAAACAGGACCTGAAACTAACCTTAGACTTAGCAGAATACCCGAAGTATTTCGAGTTTTGTTTGGTATACAAGAACCAGTTCCCAAAAATGTTATGCTTGGGTAGTTGCCAGAAATATCTGAGGAATTTTGTTTCTCTTGGAGGGAAGCTTGTAGCTTAGACTTGAAACTGAGCAGGGCAGGCTTAAACTTCTCCTGGTCATAGCATTCTTTTAGGTAAGTCTCTGGACACAGTACCAGGTCATTTGATCTGTGCACCATAAAAATTAAAGCAATTAATTTTCAACATTTCTTATGCACAGACAGTACTGTACAATGCTTCAGAGAACAGTTAGGTACAGTATATGACTTGTCTAAATACGATACTGTACAGTAATCAGGAAATACCACAGAAAGTGAAGTAGAAAAACATACAGTACCAAGTGAAAGCTCTCAGAGATTAAATATTAACAATGCTGAAGTACGGCCATTCCCTGATTTACAAAAGGGTTCCGTTCCCGAAAACCTTTCATAAATTTCCCATCAACGCCCATTATAAAAGCAGATACACATTCCTACATGAAAAAAATAAAATAAATTCTTCCCAAAAACATCTTAAAATGCCACCAAACATATTTTTTATGTAAATATTTGGTGTACACAATGATTTTAAGCTAATAATAAACATAATAAAAGGAATATATGCAGTACAGTAATATATTTTTATACCTGTACTTATGAGAAATCAGATGAGACTTGGAACAAAGTGAACAGTATGAAACACTAAGCCAACATCTATAATAAATACTACACACTGCATTACTGTACATTAATTTTCAGTCTGTTCTTGAAGATTTTCTCAACAAAAAATAAAAATTCCCACACTTGACCCATAATGAGTTATATCATCTTAAATTCCTGCTGCTTTCTTTACATGCAGCAAACACTGCCATCAGTCAGCTGATACTATACTCATGCTCTCTCATGCATTGCCAGAAATATCAACAACTCCAAACTTTTGTTCAATTCCAAATTCCTCTCATTGACTGCTCATGTTATATGTGGTAAATTAAGTTAAAGGAATTTTTTTATTCTTATATTTCATATGCTAATTATATAAATTAGCATATGCAATTTAAGAATACAGAATATTTTTCATTTACTTAATTTACCAATGATGAGGAGCTCCGGACCATGACCTGCTAAGAGCCATATATTGCTGAAACGTGTTATGTATTGCACTGTATTCCCCAACCTCTCCTCTGTCCTCAGGGTAAGTCGGAGAGCCAACTGGGAACCTGTACATGTGGGTGAGTCCTCTGAAAAGATTATTGTATGTCACACATTCCTATTTGAGCATTTTCCTCCATTTTCTAATCTGGCACTTAGCAGGTTATGGTCTGGAGCTCCTCTGATAACATGAGGGTAAATGAGGAATTTGACAATCACACAACTGGCTGAGTGAAAGAGCTGATGAAGATGAGCCTACTGGTCTCCAGTGAGTTTGGGGAGTAAGTTATATAGTGATTTGTAGGAGAATGATAATATAAACATAATAAAATTGCAAGTGTTACAGAAAAAGGAAATAAGTTAGTGAAATAAGTAAACATATTAGTACTGTACTCTAGTACAGCGGTTCTTAACTGTGGGGGCCTGAGTAATTTCTAGGGAGGGGAGGGGGGGAGCAATCCCAGAGAAAAAATAAGGAATAACCTTAACAGGTGTGTGTATGTCCTTATTTGGATTTTTGGGGCAGGGGGGGGCACCTCGCTCCCCACAGATACTTCAAAATGTTGTAAATGGTAACTACGTCAATCAAAATGTAAAATTCCACTAATTTGATGAAGAAACAATAATTTTGAGACTCCAGTACGATAATTCACATTTGAAAATTTGTCAACACTGACTGCGACGATTTCAAGTGCCAGTCGCCCATGACAACTTTCTTCCTCTCACACTCACGCATTTCTTTCTTCAATTGAGCTATGTTGTAGCGTGAACTTTTTATGAAAGAAACAATTATGATAATTACTTTTATCAATTGAAAAGAATGCTAATTGTTTCATTTTTATAACGTGAATGAAATTTGCCAACTCAAAAATGGATTGTAATCATGCGTTGTCTACTTTGAGTGATGTTCATGGCCATGTGGTGGTGGTGTTATGATCATGGTTTTAGAATTTTTAGATTTAGAATTTTATATAAAGGAAGCAGGGGGGCATGGAGATCAGGAACAACTGCTATAGGGGGCGCGACTCTAAAAAGGTTGAGAACCACTGCTCTAGTCAGAGAGAGAGAATAATTATTTTTTTAATGTCATTATTATAGTCAAGTACTAAGAAAATAATACAAAAGTGACAAAAATAAAGTTATAACTTCAGGATTCTCATTCATAATTCCCATCATTGGAACAAAATTATTTTTTCGTAACTTCAGATTTTTGTAAACCAATCCTTCGTAAATCAGAGAGTGCCTGTACAGTACATGTAATTGGTTTGTCAACTCCACTGTGCCTTGTGGGTACCCTTGATTTCCCAAATGCTGCAATATCGGGCTAAACAGACCACAGTAGTGAACCAGCCAATACCAGAAGCAGCATATAATTATAAAAAATTAGTAAACAGACTTTTATAAAACCCAGAGCAGCAAAATTTTTCACACGCAATTCCTAAACAGTAATGCTGTACCTAAAAACAACATACTATATGGTACAGTATGTCTTGTAAATAATTAGTAACATTCAACAGCACTACAAATGCACAACCTACCTATCAAGTTTCTTCTTTGGTCGAATATGGTACGTAAGGAGGGTGTTGGCTTGATGGGTTGGACCTATACAATGTTGTGGACTTGATCTTGAGTTACAGCTATTTTCTTCTTGTTGCAAAGATAAATTTCCACATGACTGACTTGGGGATTCAAAAGTTGAACCATTCACACTTGTCACACTCCCTTCAGCAGTACAAGTATTTGTATCTTTGAGAGGAATGCCCGTGTCTTTCAGAAGTGGAAAGAGTGTTTCGCTAAGGTGATTAAGTTTGTACTGAATTCTGTGCACAGCTTCAGATCCCATACAAGAACTGTTGCCATTAATAACAATATGATTAGCCGAAGGGGAGAATCGGGCCATCCACTCTTGATATCGGGGATCAGCCATAACTTCAGAAGGAGTGAAATGTACTATCGCCTCTGCCACATCTCCCTCACACATACCAGAAGACTGATACTGGGTGAAGGCAGTGTTCTCTAACAAAGCATCAAGGTAAGCTTCAGTAGGAGCCTCAACCACTGTTCAGAAGAGAATACATTGTACTTATAATGTAAGTTCATAATCCAAGTACAATGAAAATTCAGCAATAACAAGAGAGGAGATTAAGTATGAAAAGAGCATAAGTACCAAACTTCAAGAGCTATGTATAATTGATGATACCAGGCAAAAGTCACATTTTATTACCATTACTAATTGTGTATGTCATGCATAATGGTTATTAACATGAAAAAGAAATTATTATATAGAGTACGAACAATGAACAACTACCAAAGTGTTGACTGCCATGGTACAAAAATAAATAAATTACAAAAGGTTCAACAGTTTTACATATAAGGTAATATATACAAAAGATGGTGTATTATTTCCTAAATAAAAACAAAGATGTACATGAAACGTGGAGATATCAATGAGACAAATTTGAAAAACAAATTTAAATTTAATTCTTCAAGATCTATACCAATATATTCAACTCATACATTTCATGCATACAACTGGACAGACTGAGATAATAGTTTATACCCCTAACAAGCACAGCAGGGGCATAGAAACACTAAAGGCTGTCGATGAGTTAAATTTTTTCACAATTGTTAATATAAAACTCGAGTGTTTCATATAATTGCAATTCCTGTTCAGGTTCAAGCACACTTGACCAAGGACCTCTCTTGCTCATGGGGAAAGTCATATACTACATGCAAACTTGGAAAAAAAAAATTGCCTGCAAGTTTGCAAATATTATTACAGGACCATTTCCTTGATTGTGGAAAAACTGAGTAGTTCCCATTGGCCTGACAGCCTGTTATAGGCAGTACTATAGACACAGTAAACACAAGGAGGCAGCATGGCCAGTACTGCACTCAACTGTCC